TCGTACTTGTACTACAGTAAGGTTCGTACTCGTACTACAGTAAGGTTTGTACTCGTACTACAGTAAGGTTCGTACTCGTACTACAGTAAGGTTCGTACTTGTACTACAGTAAGGTTCATAGTGATACTACTGTGATGTTTGTACCTCCTCACTGTCACTCTGCTGTCAGAGGATCCTGACGTGATGTTTGTCCTCATCAGATCAGCTGTACCGGTGGTAAAAGTTGTTTTATCTTAAACGCGTACAGGGATTTCTCTGAATCTTCTCTCTTTGGTCCATCGTGGGTTTTAGTTGTTATTTTGAAGTTCTTTTCTCATCCACTGTTGAGGCCATGTTCTTAAAACAACAAAGGATGAAGCGCACATGGTATAACTATGTCCCAACTCATTTAGTCCAGTCGGCTCCAGTTCAAACTGATGCTTCACGTCGTTTTCCAGTTGACGTCCACCTTCACTTCTGCTTTAAAACGTCCATATTTCCTGTTGGTTCTGCCTCACAGAACTCATCAGGTCCATCTCTGGTTTTAAACAGCTGCAGCTGAACCGTTGCTTCTCTTTCTAACCTCAGGGTGTGATGAATGTACTTAAAACATGTTTAACTGGGCAGTTTGTGTTTGACCCGAGCACACTGGGTCTAGAACAGCGCTGAGTGCTCAGTATTCCCTACTAGCAGAGTAATAGAGTACCATTTTACAACCTGGCTGGGTCCCCAGTTTTTATGCATGACTGCATGAGTTTGAAACTAATTATTAATTAGTCAACAAACATTTTTAGCCCAACAGTAACAGAATTCTGGAGGGAGCCTTCAAAATGTCTTGGGTTTTGCAGGGGATCTCAATTTCCTCACATAATTTGAAGAAGCTTGCAGTTTACTCACCTGAACACAAACATAACTGAAACGTCCAGTCAACAACAAAATGCCACATGAACATTAAACACCACCACTCCAACATTGAAATGTGACAACACTGTAACTCCACGCCAACTACCGAGTGTGTTACCAACACGAAACACCACAACGACAACAGGACGTCCGCCAACGTTGAATTGCAAGTGAACACTGAAACACCGTGTCAATGACAACACGAACAACAAAACACCACACCAACATTAAATGTCACTCCAACAATCAAATGCCTTGCCAATGACAAAACAATAAAATGCTTTATCAACTACTAAACACTACAAGGAAATGCAACACCAACATCAAACACCACACAAAGTTTGTAATGCCACACCAACAACAAAACTCTCCATCAACCACGAAACACATGAAACTGAAACACCCAACAAAACTCTGAATGCCACACCAACATTAAAATGCTACAAACATGTCAACACAACTCTGACATTAAAAGGTCAATACAATAACAATGACCATCCAAAACGTCACGTCAACGACTGAATACATTACCACCATGGAACGCCAAAAACCTGCTGAATGCTGCACCAACAATGAAACGCCACATGGACAACAGAGCGCCACGCCAACATCAAGTCCAAACACCACGCCAACAACAAAATGCTCACCATCAATAAATCGGTACACAAACAACAGAACAGCCTGCTATGGCTACATGAAATGCCAACAATGAAACACCACCCCAACACAAAATTAACAATTATTATCGTTATTTTTGTTATTAACCTTCTTTTAACCTGGCATATTCCAGAGATCACAGATCTTTTACAAGGGAAGCCTGGCCTGAAGGCAGCCTAACATGCATGTTTTTGGTCTGTGAGAGGAAACCACGAGAACATGCGAACTCCACAGAGAAAGACCCCATGTTCAGACTGGGGAATGAACCCAGGACTTTCTTGCTGTGAGGCAACAGTGCTAACCGCTTAGTTGTCGTACTGCTCAATAATTAAAGATTAAACCAACATGAAACAATAAAATGCTTTTACAAACCATCTTGATTCATGCTCAATAATCCAAGTAAAAAATTCAAGTTCAGTCAGGTCCTCTGGATGGTTTCTTTATGTTGAAACATTTTATCTTTCATCCAGAAGACTTCATGAGTCTGAGGAGCCACAACAAACTCAGTCTTATAAATGGCACCTTCACATAGTGGGTCAACCAGTTTGATGGTGCTCAGATGGTTTCTGGAGTCCGCCCTCTCCCCTGCCGACTCGTTTAAGGCAGTCATGGCCGTGGTCAGTCATGAGGCTTTACAAACTACTAAACACTACAAGGAAATGCAACAGCAACATCGAACACCACACCAACAACTAAATGTCTCATCAATAACAAAACTTATGGGCCCACCACCTGCAGGAGGGGCCATATGAGTCTGGTGCATGAGGCCATGGGCAGTGTCTGAAGGCGGGGGCCTTGGCGCTCTGAAAGACCACACCAACACTAAAATGCTACTCAATCATTGGAATGCCACATCAACAAATAATAAAGATGCAACAAAGTAGAAAAAGACTTGCTAGGAGCATCTCCAGTCCATCTCTGACAGAAAACATGTTCAGGTCTAAAAACCATAAATAATAATCATTTTTTTAACAGTTCCAAATCGATCCAATTTTCATTTCTCAAGTGTACTTCAAGAGAATAAATCAAATGTGGGGGCCGCTGCCAAGGTAGGTAGAAAACAAGCAGATGGGATATGGTCAACACGTTTCCAAGCCGTGCATGAACACAGGCTGCTCTAAATCCAGTTGCATGGTTCTTTGTTCACGTACACTCAGAGTTCAGTGACGACTCAGAATGTCCCGATTTCTTCAGTTTGGAGGCCCTGACTAGCCTCAAACTGTTGCGGTACAAAGGGCTACTGAGTTTAGACATGATCTTCACCGTTCTCCTCTTCTTCTCTGTGCAGATGATGAAGATGGACCCTATCAGTAGGCCTATTCCTCTACAGATCCCCACCCTCGCCCCTCAGCCTTCCTCCCACTTTCAGCCTCAGACTCCGCCTTCCCGGAGCAGCTACACCGAAGCTCTTCTTTCATCTGATGAATCATCCCCATCACCTCCCTCACCTCCTCCTCCACCTCCTCCTCCTATGGCAAGTGTGGCTCATCAGACAGCACCCCCATGCTCCTACGTGAAGTACAGCACTCTGGCTCGCCTGCAAAACCAGAACCAGTTCAGGACGCAGCAGGGAGGCGGGGTTGGCCCACACTCTCTCCCCATGCAGCCCAGCACCCAACCAAACTACAACACTCTTCCAGCTACATATGCCCCTTCCCCACCATCCCCTCCCCCACCTCCCCCTCCTGAAGCTCCAGCTCCCAGCTCGGCTATGGCTGCACTGAAATTCAGAACTCCCAGTCCCGCTACTCTTCTACCACCACCCCCACTAGAGGAAGAGACACATGAGTCCGCCTACCTTCTACCTCCTCCACCAGAAAGCCTTGAAACCAATGGGTTGCCCCCTCCACCCCCTCCACAGCCCCATCCTAACTCCTGCCTTCCGCTTTCCAACGCAGGCCTTCAGCAGTTCCTGGCACAGAAGTTTCCCAATATGGAGTATGACTTTAGCCTGGCGGTGCCTGATGAGAACTCACCCCCACCTCCTCCACCTCCCACTGAACTCTCACTCCCAATCTCTCAAGTTCTTCGCCCTCTGTCCCCTAATGCTCCCCCGCCTGCACCTCCCAAAACTTTCACTGGTGGCTTTCCCCCACAGACTGCTCCTAAACGCTCAGGTCCCTCTTCCCTTCCCATCATGTCCCCTGTGTCTCCCACCCAGCCCCCTGCAGGACACGGGCTAGTCAAAAAGCAGCAGAGCTTCTCGACAGGACACTCCCCCAATCAGCCCCCTCCCACTCTGCCGAAGCAGCACAGCCTCTCTTCCAAAAACCTGGCCATCTCTCCTTCTTCCTTGTCCTCGTCTGTCTCCATTGCGGCTGCTACCTCCTCTTTGGTCAAACAGATCGTCAATCAGTTCCCAGGAAATGCCTCCAACCCTTCTGCCCCCCAGTCCCCTCCTGCAGTCAAGGCCAAACCAAAATGGCAGATGGGAGGTGTTGTGGCTCCACAGTCACCAGAGTTCCCTCCACCTCCTCCTGACAGCTCCCTGGGGGATTTTCCTCCTCCTCCCTCTTCATCCTCTTCCAAGATAGGTTCGCCTATCAAGAAGTCACCATCCACATCATCCACAGGATCCACAAAGCGGGGACCTCCACCCACCCCACAGAGGGCCTCCTCAATGCGAGATGGCCAGGAGGAGAGGCCAAAGAAGGTGGAGAGCCTGCTCAGCAAGTTTGGCCAAGCTCCTCAGACGGCAACGTCATCGAGCTCCTCATCAGCAACTGGTTCTCCTTCCAAAGACTCCTCATTGCTTCCTGCTCCGCTCCCCAAGCCAGGTAAGCTGAACCTGGCCAATCTGCCATTGGCACTTCAGGGCCTGCAGACCACCCAACACCATCAGCCGTCAGACTTCCCATCACCTCCTCCCCCTCCTCCACCCTCCCAGCCCATTCATCCTGAGCCGTCATACGACTACTTCCCCCCTCCTCCAAGTGAATCTGAGCTTTTCCCTCCTCCCCTCCAACCATCGGAGTTCCACCACCCTCCAAAGGTGGCCGTGGTGAACCCCCAGCCTCAGATGCAGCCACCCTCACAGACGTCAAGCATATCATTGTCATGGAAACAAAGCTCGCTGAAAAGGGGGGCGGTACCTCCACCGACACTGAGTCGACGAAGCAGCAACACAGCTCAGTACGACAACACAATCTCACTGCCCCTCTCACCCCCACCTCTGTCCCAAAGCCCACCTCCTTCCCTCTCCTCTTACTCATCTTCTCCTGTCCCCCCAACCTCCCCAAAGTCAGCGGGGCCAGGCTCTCTGGCGCTCAAGCCTCACTTTCTGGAAGACCTAAATCGCACCCTGAAGAGGAAGTCCGTGTCGCGTCACAGCTCCTTGATCTCCTCCTCCAAGCTGGAGCCTGTGGGCACCATGGATGACATGGCACTCCTTCCACCCCCTCCCCCTGAGCTCCTGGCGCAGCAGCAGGGTGTCCGAGGACATGCTCACACTCTGTCTCGCCACCACACGCGCTCTCACTCCACCAAACATGGCAACATCTCAGGCTATGCAACTCTGCGGCGAGGTCCACCCCCCGCGCCTCCAAAACGGGACCAAAGCACCAAACTGACTGGTGAGTGGTAGGAGGAGCAAGGTTTGGGGTGCAAGAACACTAGCTGTGGCTCCAAGAACTAAAGCGACCACCCAGGTCTGCAAGTATTCACTTCTCTTTACTCCTCCATCTTGGACTCTAACCAGTTTATTGATGTGCCGTAATCTCAGAATATTATTATTCCTTTACTCATCTAAACTCATTATCTTTACAAGTTTAATCCAACATGAGTCAAACTTGTGTGTACATAGTTCGCAAGGCAGCAAAAACCCGGCTGCAGCTTTTTTTTTTACGTCTACGCAGCTTTGCTTTGAAACAGAAATAGACTCAAACAGTTAAAGGACATTTGGCTGCAATAAAAACAGGTACTGCATGGAGCCGCCAGTTAATGACACTATGGGAGGGGGGGTGTACAGATGATGTAAATTGCGATGGTTTGGGCGGAGGGGCACTCCTAGAGGGAGTGTTGCCATGTTTCTTTCAACCTTTTTTTTAATATAAGATTATTTAATACTAAAATATATTGTTTAATTATTTTAAAGTTGAAGGAGCGTTGGTGAAGGATGAGTTTGACTGGGTCCGGGTCTGTGTTTGGATCGTGGCAGTTTGACTAACTTGTTGGTGACTCCTGCCTTTTGTCTTCAGAGACGAGGTGTCCCTTTGCTTTGAAGAGATCAAAAGGTCAGAGGTCATTCAGCAGGGACAGTTTTCCTGCCTGTGGGAATGAAAACCGCAGCGCACGGTGTAGTGGTGGAACCTGAAGGCACCTCAGATTCAGAGACTGCAATGTCTAAAATGATTATTATCCACTTCACCGCATCTAAAGTCAGACTTCAAACAAAATCTTGAACAGAACATCTCTGGTCTGAAAGAAACTACGTGTTCGCTCTATGCTCCAGCATGAACCAGGTTTAACAAACACAAGGTCCAGGTCATGGACAGAAGATTCTGTGGTGACGGATGACCATGTTCCATCTGTCTGACCTGCTTTCCTCAAAGTTTCCGACGCTTTGTTTTTGGTCTTGTAGAGCGTGGGGTCTGTGACCACCATGTTCAGTCGTGACATCCTGGAAACATAAAAACCGTTGGCGTGATGGTCCTCTGTTAGCAGAAGGGTGTCGCTCGTCGTTTAACCTCAGAAGCTGAAGTTCTTCCAAACACAGTCTTTCAATGCAGAAGGAACCGTTTGTATGTGTCAACCATCTTGACAACCATCAAAGGCGCATTAACACCAAAATGTGTTCTATTAAAACAAGAAACTCGAGCTGGCACCATAAGAACGTGCATGCCCAGAGCTTTGTTCAGATCAGAACCGGTGCAATACACCTTCACATCAGTTCTTCAGATGGATCCTGTCCGGTTTGAAGTCCACACCAGGTTTAAGTAAAACCTTCTGTCATATGAGTTCAGCCTTACTGCTTAGTAACAATCCCTTAGATCAGTGGTTCCCAACAGTGGTCCTTGAGGAACACCACCCTGCACGTTTTGTTGTTTCTCTGCTCCAGCACACCTGATTCAGTCATTTCATTACTTCAAGTTCTGCAGAAGCCTGTTAATCACCCATTCATTCAAATCAGATGTCATAGCAGGGAAACAACTAAAATGTGCAGGATGGTGTTCCTCAAGGACCACGGTTGGGAACCACTACCTTTGATTATCAGTCCTAGAACCAGTGCTAGTACCTGCCGGACAGAACTTGGCCTTCAGGTTGTCTGTTCAATCACCGTCAGTCACTGTTTTTAGGTTTTAAGGTTGTGTGTCGTTAGTTAAGACATGCTCTGGAAACAAGTGCCTGAAAACAAACTGCTCTCCGTGGTGGAAACAGAGTTCACTTGGGACCACATTTGAGAGGTCCTCAGTTCAGAACGTCCAAATGTAGGACAGCAGAGAGAACACGTACCTTAAAGCATTCCTGTCTCATTACCGGGATCCTGACAGTTCTGATGGCCCCAAAGGTAGAGCTCCATACGTTGAGTACCTGTGTGAACTGGACAGGTGGAGTCATGGAGATGAATCCAAGTACTGCTCCGACGGAGCTTCTGGGTTTCACACAAACCATTTGGACCACAGGAGCTTTAAGGGAGGGGTTCTTGGCGATAGTCGATCTGGTTCTTTCAACACTTGACTTTATGATTATTACTTTATTTTACCAGGAAAAAAATCCATTGAGATGATCAATCTATTTTACAAGGATGTCCTGATTGATACATTTGGAAACTCACGCTGTCGCCAGAACGACCGACACAACACTAAAGACTTCAAGCCTGAGTGGCCTGATTTACCTTTTGACCTCAGCTGAAGTGTAGCAGAACCAAACTTAAATCCTGTAAAAAAAAAAAAAAAAAAAAAAGGGTGCACATTTTAAGGTTAAAAATTTATTTGGTCCACTTGTACTTTGAAAATGTTTTTTCACTGAGCAGGGACTGTTGGAGACCAGTTTGTGAACATCCATCCATCATCTTTACCCGCTTCTTCCTTTTCGGGTCGTGGGGGGTCACTGGTGCCCAAATCCAGCTATCACTGTGTGAGAGGCAGGGGACACCTGGACAGGTCTCCAGTCCATCACAGGGACACCTGGACAG